TAGGGTGCTGCTTTACTACCTTCCTGTTGTCCGCGATATTTAGCTGATCGGGAATTATGATTGGGCCAGCTTGGCCTATGCTGAATTTCTGCGAGGATTGCGAGACTCCTGTCGACACTGGTCTTACATAGGAGACATCGCTTTGTCTAGCTTCTTGAGAGTCGTAGAGGTATACTCCGTCTCTAGCAAAGTTAGCTCTAAGCTCTTATTAGCACTTGATGATATCTTTTATCTTTGTAGATTTGGTTCGACGAGTACTTTCCTTCGCTTGCATCAGCGAGACCATCTCCACGCGAGTTCCCCTTTGGCACCTGTTGAGGAGGTCACTACAGTAACCAGGAGGCTATTGTCCGTGTTCGAGAGCTGATCCTCTCGGTATGTGATGGGTGTCATAAATGGCACCCATTTGATGAGCACTTAGGTTTATTTCATCCTATTTTCATATCTTTCTTGCTCAATAAATGCTTAGTTTTATGCTTTGTTGCTTAGTTTTACCTTTCCTCTCTTATTTTGTAGCTTTTGTGTATTTCGTTGGTTTTCTAGCCTTTTCTCCTTTATTTGCTCTATTTCTGTGGTTGTAGGTATTGTACGAGGTTCGGGTCTTGATATTGGTGATATATAAGGTGGAGAAAGCCTTTGGAGCAAGCTCACGACATTTGGAAAGCTCAAGATGCAAGGAAGTAGAAATTCCAAGTCTTGGCTCTTACGCTCTCATGCCGTGATACCATTAAGAAGTGGTGTACCCACTAATCTAGAGCTTAAGCTACTGCCACTCCTAGTGTTCATCATCATCATAGTCGCGCGACCTTAGCGAACGCACGAAGCCGCGAGAATTTTGAAGAAACCCAATGAAGCGCGGGCGTGCGAATCTCGGGTGCGGCCGCACCACAACGTGGCGCGGTCGCACCACCCCTTGGTGCGGGCGCACCACTGGGTGGCACGGCCACACCTCCCCATGGTGCGAGCGCGCTCCCTAGGTATTTGTTGCTCGGTTTTTGGTGTTTTCGCGCCTCTATAAAAATCTTTGTAACCCGATTTTTAGGGCAACTTTAGAATAAGTTTCATATTAAATTTTGATCATATTCTTAGCTTAGTGGACAGCTTATCTCTCTAGTTTTAGGGTTAGTTTTAGGAGTATATTTTAGAGAGAGAAAGTGAGGAATTTCAATGGTGATTGAGAGATTGAAGATTCAATGGTGACAATTGTATTGGAGATCTTCTCTATTATCAATGAGCATTTCTAAACTCTATCTCATTTAATGCTTTGTTTAATATTCATGTTTGTTTGATTTGTTTTGGATTTGTTTGGATTTTGATGTTTGATCTTTGATTAGAGTAATTGATCTTGATAGATTGTTGATTCTTGTTTTATATAATTGTTTGTTGATTTGATGATGTTGTTAGAGTAGTTTGCTTGCTAGGGTGATGGTGAAGCTTATATGATGTGATGGATTGATGTAAATTGGGGTTAATTGATGGAGTTGATGATGTGATTAAATTGGTCGATTGATCATGTGCATGAGTGTAATTGATTAAAGAATGGCCAACTTTGATTGTTGCACTAGATTGCTTTGTAAGTTCACATTGATACGGACAATTGATTTGTGGCTTGCATTTAACGATTGAGGTGTCTTGTGACTTTCCTAGATAGAGTTTATCATAGTTGACGCTAATTAGACCTCTAGGAAAATAGCTTGATATGCTCTTTTGGTTGCATGATTGGTTTTCCCTTGCATCACTCGACTTAGTCAACTTCCTATCCCAATTTGCTTTGTTCATTGCTATTATATGTGATTCCTAATCCCTAACACTTTATTTGTTCGGTTTCTTCGTTTAAGTAGTTGTTAGTGTCACCTCCTTTCCTTCGTCTTCGACCTAGCTTAGGCACCTAAATTGAAAGCACTTAGGCATTACCGTTCCTTTGGGTTCGACCCTTGACTTACCTCTATACTTCTTTTAGGTTAGTTAAGTGTTTATAATTTTTTTTTGGCTTAGGGAGGATTAGTCCAACGACCTAGTTCACCCCACGTCAGTATGTTCTTTTGCATAGTTAACGTATTTGCATCGCTTTTGGTAGAAACTTTACCTTATAGGCATTCTCTACAGGAGCCTGATGTTTTATACCAGCCATGGGGCAGCCTGATTATTCCTGCGCTGGTTGCGTAGTACGCTGCTGAGCGTCGCTACTTTCAGGGGACGTACGAGGCGGCGGTGTACATCGGAGAGAGTTTTGATATTCAGCACTCCTCAGAGATTTTTGACGTCCCTGCTCCTCCGCCACGTCATATATTTCATGACGCGATGCTGCTCAACTTGTTGGAGGGGTCGCTTGCTGGTACCCCTTGGCGATCTCATGCTAGCTCGGGGCAATGCTAAAAGGAGGTCCCGCTGCCGTTGTTAGCTCCGGCCCCTGTTGTGTCTGAGGAGGCGACGGTATGATTTTTATCTTTTATCTCTTTGCTAAGTAGCCCCCAAGTGATATTTTATTCACTTTGGTTTGCTTTTTGCCAGACCGAGCCTACTAAGTCTGTTCCCCCTCATATGTCCAACCACTATCAGGGGACATACGGGACTATTGAGGAGATGATCCCTCCGGCTCCCGAGGATCAAAGTTTTATTGAGCGATCTATCCCTCGCAGCCAGACTCGGGTAAGTTATTTACTTGCTATTTGTTTATATATGTCTTGTATTGTTACTGATTTTATTTCTTTGACAGTTCTTACGCGAGGTGGTTACGGCGATGGCGAGGTGTATAGACACCTTTCAAAGCCAGCTCATGCGGATGAGGAACGTGGCTTCTAGTCGTCACGACGACACTGTTCGGGAGGTATTTTTCCTCTTTATTTCTACATTGTTTATATTTCTATTTTCTTTACTTCTGACTTGATTTCTTTTTGCATGGACAGCCTATTCCTTCCCGTACTCGGATGAGACTTGAGTTTCATAGAGAGCCGGCTAGGTCTAGCTCAAGGCGTCCCCGCACTACTTCCGGTGGTCGGGGTGGTCGATTTGATGCTGCTCGGACTGAGGTGTTGGGGGTCTTGGGTTCTTCATCTGAGAGTGCACAGGCTAGGCCGATGGGCCAAGGAGAGGCGACTTCAGCTCCGAGAGGTGGTGGGACGTACGAGGTTGGCTCGTCGTCGCAGCAGCCTCCGTAGCCTCAGCCTTTGCTGATTCATCACCAAGGCGACCTTGGGTGGACGGGTCCTGAGTTGAGCTTCCCTCCTCCTGGAGAGACCGGAGCAGGTGGGGAGTATACTCCTCGATCTGTGCAGTTCTTCGATATGATGAACATTCCTCATCATCTGCGTCCTCCAGCGCCGTAGTTGTACCTGTGTTGTTATTTATTTTGACTTTTATAGGACTTTGCCTGACTGACACATTTGTTATCTACATTTGTTAGACATATTTTGTATATACAGACTATTATCTATTATGATTGTATTATCTTTGCATTTATTTTTCATTTTTATGTGCATATGTGTGTGTGCAAAAAATTCTGATAAATTTTGCGCAAAAATTTCCGTCATTTTTATTACTAATGGAGGGTATCCGACTTTCTTCCCTAAAAAGAAAAAAAAATGAAAAATAAATTAGACTTAAAACAAACCTAAATTTAATTAAGTTTGAATAAATCCAAAAAGAAAATAGAAGGAAAATATATTGAATAAATATATGTGGGATATTTGAACAAAAGGCAAAATTGTAAAGTCATTGTACGAATTCGAATCGTAACCAGAAAAACGCAGTTTGCATAACTCGTTGAGGAAGCGCTGCAGCGCCACGTGTCGCCACGCTTTTAGCGCTATCGCCAGGCGACAGGCTTGTCGTTTGGCGCTGCAGTGCGCTGATTCCGAGTCCTTTCCGGAGCCAAACTGCATCGATTTTGTAAATAAATAGCCCCCTAATCTGCCAATTTTCTGTATAATTTGAACAGATTAATTGTAATCTTAGTTTCTCAACAAATAATCATGTCTTTAGTTACTAAGAGTTTTAGCAATTTCACTCGTGAGTGGTGTCGGTCTTTAACTGCTAAAGAGAGAAAAGAACTCGACTTTTTTCACATGGGAGGTATTTATGGTGTTAAGGGGGTAGATCTTGATATAGATTTTATTCATACTGCCTTAGAATATTGGGACACAGATACACATTGCTTTAGACTAGGGTGTGATGAAATTAGCCCTTTACCGGAAGAATTTGGAGCCATCGTAGGCTTCCCTTCATTAGATCTTGCGGTATCCCTAGAATAAATGAATATGATTATAAAGATTTTTAGCGCTTCTTTAATTTGAGAGACAGAAATCTGAAAAATATTGTACATGGTAGTGTATTTAATCTAAAAGAATTTGCACGCCACTACTTTGATAGACCTTATTCTGAATCTTTTCATGTTTATAGAAGAAGGGATTTTCTCTTTTGCATGTTTAATCAATATCTTCTCACTCGTGGTAAAACTAATGAGGGTCAAGCAATTATATTAATTGTTTTGGAGCAAATTGAATCTGGAAGAAATCCATTGCCATTAATTGTTGGAGAGATCTTGATGAATTGAAGAAAAATCCAAAAGCACCTTTTCGGGGCTCTCCAATTTTATTACATGTAGAAAAATAATATTTTTAATTACAAAAATCAAAAACATATTTTTTGTATAGTAATACTAATTTATTTGCATTGAATTTTTTGCAGATATGTCTAATGAAGAGACTACAATTAATTAGTCCTCCTGACAATATTGAAAAATATACTGCAAATTGCTTTGTGAGGTGAAAGAAACGCTTCTCTAAGATGGGGCGCCATGAGTGGAATAAAGTCTTTGCCTCTGACAACTTTGCTATCAAGTGGGTCGTCCCCTGGTGGAAAATAAAGAAGATGGTTCGTGTCAACAAGTAACCCTTCTGCCGTCTTCCTAGCTTAACCAAGATGACTTTTTATTATCCCTGCAGGGTAAAAAGGCAGTACGGTCTACTTCAAACAATTCCTTCTGGGGATCTCCGTCGTCCCTATGAATTCCCTGTTTCACAAGAAGTAGAGAAATTTGACACATATTGGAGTGCTAGGGCTTTATGAGAAGTGCTTACCCAAAAGGTTCCTCCTTCCTTGCCCAATGATGTGAAGAGATGGCTTCTTAATAAGCCTTCAAAGGACATGAAGAAAAATCAGAGTAGAACCAATGTGAAGAATCGTTTATGTGACAAAGTGATTCCTGTTAAGGAACGCTTGGGTGAAAAGATTGAATTCAAAACACCTGTGATGCCTAAGAAGAAAGACTCTACAAAGGATAAAGGGAAAAGAAAAGTTGACACTTCAGGAAAGAAGGTTTGGGTAGAAAAGAAACATGGAGTTCTAGCTAAGGGAGAAACCATTTACTCTAAAATTGAAGGTAGGTCCTCTAAAGGATGCCTACAAGCTAAAGTCATGGACGATGAAGAGGATGCAGATAAAAATTGGAAAAGGGCAAAGAAAGAGAAGAAAGATTGAAGCATTGCTTAATTTCCAATTTATTAGACTAGTTTAAATTTAAAGTTAATTTGTTTTATTAAGCTTTCATTTAAATTCCATCAATAATGTAATTTTTATTTTATTTTATTAATGAAATTTCAGCTATTTAATTAAATCAACTTCTTTAAATTTAATTTATTAAAGCAATGAAAACAAATTATATTATTTTATTTTCTAGAAATTTTCGAGTACGGAAGTCGAAAATTTTCCTAAAAACACCGGAATTTGCCCAGATATTCCCAGAAAACGGCGCCGCCGTTTTGCAGCTGTCGTTAATCTTTTCTGTCAGTCACCGAGCGACAGGTGCTGTCGCTTTGCGCTGCAGTCTGTCGGCCGGCGACAGACCTCTATCTGTGGCGCTGCTATTCTATCGAATGTCTATTGCTTCTGGGATGCAAGGTTTTCAAAAATTAAAGTGGCCGCACCCTGTAAAGGGTTGCCTACGTATCCTTTCCCAAGTAATCAGGCCAAACGTAGCTCTCTTGAGTATCCTACTCAAGTAATTATGGGTAGTACTTTTGAAGTTGGTCAAGGTTTGTCATGTTTGAGAACTCATTGTCATCCATGTCAGTTAGTTTTGCTGCACCTCCTGATAGAATGGTTTTGACAATATAGGGTCCGGACCAATTAGGTCTAAATTTGCCTCTTGGGTCCAAAACATTTTTCCTTAATGCTTTTAACACCAAGTCTCCTAATTTGATGTTTCTTGTCTTTACCTTCTTATTAAAATGCCTAGCCATACAGGTTTGATAGCATTGGGTATGATGTAGAGCTTCTAGTCGCTTTTCATCAAGTAGAACTAGCTCTTCATACCTTGCTCTAGTCCATTCGACTTCATTGAGTTTACTTTCTAATGCAATGCGTAGATATGGTATCTCTAGCTCTACAGGTTGTACGAAATCCATTCCATAAACCAAAGAGAATGGCGTATTTCCTGTTGATGTGCGAATTCACGTGCGATAAACCCAAAGTGTGAAATAGAGTTTGTCAGGCCAATCCTTGTAATTTTCTGTCATTTTCTCGATGATATTATTTATATTTTTATTAGCTGCCTCAACTGCTCCATTTGCTTGAGATCTATAGGGGAAGAATGATGGTGTTGAATGCCATATTTTTGTAACAATTCTTCACATTCAGCTTGAAAGTGAGTTTCATTGTCACTTATCATCTCATGTTGGACTCCGTATCGACAAATGATATTCCTTTTGATAAAGAGTGCTACATGTTTTGCAGTGAGTTTAGCATATGATTATGCTTCGACCCACTTTGTGAAGTAATCAATTGCTACTAAGATGTATTCGTAACCTCCTGTCCCAGGAGGGGTAATTTTATTAATAATATTAATCCCCAATGTAGAGAATGGTCACGGTGAAGTATAGGTGTAAAGTATAGATGGAGGAAAATGTTGTAAATTGGCATAAATTTGGCATTTAGGGCATCTTTTTACATATTGATGACAATCCCTATTCATGGTAGTTCAATAGTACCCTTTCTCGCATTATCTTTTGGACTAGCATTTTGCCATTAACATGGGTTCCACAAATGCCTTCGTGGACTGTCCTCATAGCTCTTTGGGCATCATTTTTCCCTACACATAAGAGAGCTCGACCCTTAGGTACCGTTTTATGTAACTCGTCGTCTATGAGTACGTATTGGGAAGCCAAGATTCTTAATGCTCGTTTTGCTCTTTTGTCAACATGAGTAGGGTATTCTCCTTTGGTGACGTAATTAAGTATATCCGTATACCACGGTTCTTCTTCTTCTTCATCATCATGGACCACTTCATCATCTTCTATGGCTTGAATGTAAGCCGGTTTATGCCTTTTTTCTATGGTTAGAGGCATTTGCTCGATTTCCGTAGGAGTCCTAACCATTGAGGCTAGTCTTGCCAAGGCATCAGCAAATTGGTTTTCCTCTCTAGGTAGATAGGTGTATTCTACCTTTTCCAGCTGGTTGGTGAGAGTTTCCAGATAAGTTTAGTAAGGAGCCAGACTTTCACTCCTTACTTTCCATCTTTTAGAAATTTGGTTGATGATCAGTGAAGAGTCTCCGAATATTCGTAATTTCTTCAGTCCGAATGCCAAAGTTGTTTCAAGGTCTACCACGCATGCTTCGTATTCGGCAACGTTGTTGGTAACGTCGAAATCTAGCTTTATAAAGACTAGAATGTGCTCTTCTTAAGGTGATACTAATAATACTCCAACGCCACATCCCTTTTGGTTTGAGGCTCCATCGAAGTATAAAGTCCAAGTATCATCTTCCATGACCATCAAATATTTGCCTGGAAATTCATTGTCACGTACCATCTTCTATTGGGAAATCCGCTAGGAAATCCGAGACCACAGATCCTTTGATAGCCTTTTGAGGCATGAATCTTACATCGAATTGGGCTAAATTGACTATCCATCTTGATATGCGCCCATTGAGTGTAGACTTTTCGAATAGATACTTAAGTGGATCCATTCGAGAAACTACAAAGACTGTGTGCACGAGCATATAGTGTTTTAGCTTTGTTGTGGCCCACACCAATGCGAGACACAATTTTTCAAGCGGTGTATAGCGCACTTCATACTCGAGCATCTTTTTTCTTAGATAGTAGATTGCATTTTCTTTACCTTCTACTTCTTGTGTAAACATATCCCCCATTGTCTCCTTAGTGACTGTTAAGTACAACCTAAGAGGAATCCCTGTGAGCGCTGGTGCTTATACGGGAGGATTTGCGAGATAGGCTTTGATTTTTTCAAAGGCTTTTTGACTCTCGTCATCCCATATTACTGGCACATTCTTTTTAAGCTTCTTGAATATTGGTTCGCATATCATTGTTAGCTTCGATATGAACCTACTTATATATTGCAACCGGCCAATGAATCCTCGAATTTATTTCTCGGTTATGGGCGGTGGCATTGACATGATCGCCTTGATCTTGGTTGGGTCTATCTCTATTCCTCTAGAGCTTATGACATATCCCAAGAGCTTGCCTGAGGTGACTCCAAAAGCTCACTTATATGGATTCACCTCATGTAGTATTTTCTTAGCCTTTCGAAATATTTTATTAAGGCTATTTAATGTCCTGGGCGATCTTTTGATTTCACAATCATATCTTCTGCATGTACTTAAACCTCTTTGTGCATCATGTCATGGATTAGGGCTGTAACACCCCAATAAGTCTCCCTTTTCCAAACCACTTACTTTAAATAAAAATAGAGGAGAACCATTGGCATGTTACCGCCACGTGTTAAAACGTTAAGGCTTTATCAAAGTATTGCAGCGGAAATCCAACTTAAATATTAAAATAATATAATTCTCGTTCCTTGGCTTCTTAAAGTTACCTTGGTCACTCGAATTCCCAAAATCCTTACGCTTTTCTCCAATACTCCCACTCTCAAGTGCACTCCTGACATTCAAGCTATACAGGTGCGCTGCTCTCCCATACACCTTATCAAGAGTCTTAAAAGTCTTTCCAGCCAAGTCCTTTTGTAACTGCTTAGTCAAACCTTGCTCAAATCTTTGAGCCTTCAACTCCTCAGTAGGCACTACTTCAGGAGCAAACCTCGACAAGTTCATAAACTTGTTATAGTACTCAGTAATCGACATATTGTTCATTTGCAGATTGATAAACTCTTGAGCCTTTTGCTTCCTTAAGAATGGTGGATAGAACTTATCCCTAAGTTTGGTTTTGAAAGTCTCCCAACCAAAATTAACCTCAGCACGAATCACGTTTCCATTATCCCTCCACCAAATATCTGCCTCTTCCTTCAAATACATGGCAGCTTGATCCACTCTCATATTCACAGGACAATTCAAAGCAGCAAAAATCTTATCAAACTCCCTAATCCAATTCTCTAGAAAAGTTGGGTCTCCACCTCCCTCAAAGTATGGTGGCTTGACTTGTGCAAGTTTCTTAAACATCTCACCAGCAAGATCGGGATTATCATTGCGGTTTTGGTTCAAGTTCTCAACTAGGAGCCTAATAGCATCAGCTAAAGCATCGTTGTTAGCCATCCTCCTTCTCTGCCTAGAAATGTAACACACTCTCAGGCCGACATCAACACGAAAGAACTCACTTGCTCAATAAATCACATTCATATTCATCAAATATATATTCAGGTAGAAGGGTGGACACGGCCACACAATTACCCCTAATAAATCACTTTTAAAGGAAATGATTATTTAATTTTAATCATTCCTACGCACACAAAAATTAAATAAAATAATTCCCTTGATTAAATCCCTTCCAAAATCCAAGCATTAAGTAAATAATATAATTAAATAAACACATTATAATAATCACATAATTACATGCTTCACATAAAGTTAATTTACACATATCATATGGCACAAATCATCACATATAAGTTCCATATTACATGCTTTAAACCTTAAACATGATACTAGGTGATCACAATTAAGTAGCAACTTTAGATAAAACATACACAATTAAATAACTTGCAGAATCACTTCATACAATAATTAAAAGACAAAAGAATTAATTTCAATGCATATAGAAAGAAATAATCTATCCTATACGCCCTTTCTAAAGCTACCCAAATCTCACCGATAAAATGAAACAAGCAAGGAAGTTAAAAAAATAAAATAAATTAATTAATTAATTTTATTTCAAAATAAATAAATAATTTGAAAATTAGATAAAATAAACAAATACTTTTTTTTTATAAATGCCGAAATAAATGTAATAGAATAGAACAATTTTTTTTTTGAAAACTTAAGTTAACTTTAAATAAGGTAGTTAAATAAAACTCATTAAATTTAAAACGTTAGGCGCCTAAAAACTTTAAAATTGGCTTTAGTGGGAATTAAATCTAACCTAAGCTCTGATACCACTTTGTAACACCTCAATAATTCTCCCTTTTCCAAACCACTTACTTTAAATAAAAATAGAGGAGAATCATTGGCATGTTACCGCCACGTGTTAAAATGTTAAGGCTTTATCAAAGTATTGCAGCGGAAATCCAACTTAAATATTAAAATAATATAATTTAGAAACCCAATAAGTCAAAGCTTACAAATTGGAACCATAAAAGCCCTTTTTAAAACCAAACCAATAATCAAAGTCCCAAAACATAATTGAAGTAGTAAGACATAAATAAGTTCAACACAAAGAACGAATACTCTCAATCACACCAATCACTTGACAATGCGTATGTCAAATCCCCGAACTTCACATCATCAAGCTAACCTGTGCAATACTGCTCCCCAATAATACAAGTGTAATAATTGGATCATCACAGGGTCATTGAAAGGCGAAGGCCATGACCAAATAAAGACACACAAAGCACGCAATCAGCAAAGCTGAGTACATACAAGCTACAACGCACAAAACCTAGCATGCTCAACTAATTAAAATAAATAAACATATACACAAATTAATTAATCAAGACACCACACTTAAACAATTCAGTTGACTCAACATACTTCTGACCATTTCCAAACACTCGACTCTTTATATTTAATTTAATTAATTTAATTTGGAGTAAGCAATAGACGAGGTTGTCCAATCCACCAAATCATTTTGGTCCTAAATGACCATTTAAAATAAAAGTTTAGCGTGATGCAAGAATGAGCGCGACTCCATTCTCACAAAGTTAGTCTAGGATCCCATCTAACTTTCATTATAAAATAAAATGTAAATACCAAAAGAAAAGAGGACATGTTGATCAAACAAACCTCGGAAAGCCACGGGCTACCACCGTGTACCCAAACCCATAATTGTCAATACTCTAGAAGTGCACGCTTTCCAGAGTTTTATTGCTCATCCATGTTTCACTTTACGTGATTACAAATTTAAATAATAGCCGACTCAATCAAGTAGAACATACATAAAAAAAAATCATACATCAATTCACTTTTAATCTTATTTAGGACAATGGTGATCACATCACAAATTGACCTTTAAATCCATTAAACTTCCAAATTATCCAAATTGTTGAACATAGTCAACCCACCTAGCTATTTCGGCTTAATCCACTTTTACTCAACATACTAACAAGTCATGCTCGAGTAATAAATAAAATAATAATAACCTTGTGGAATAATTAATAAATTTATTCCACTTAAACCATTCAATTCCAATCCTTTAATAATCCAAATGTGGTTAACAAACCAGTCCAATAAAAATATGCTTGTATCAACATTCCATACAAATAATTAATCCAATATAATTCAACATACTTGCACCCATAATTCCATACAAGCATAATTAATTCAGCAAAACATGCATCATAAACATAAATACATGAATTAATTAAATATATAACCAAACAATTTTCATCCAAGCGTTCTCTAATCATGAAACTAAGTTCTTTTCTTTGGTACCTAAACATGATACTACTTACAACGAAGTAGACATGTACGTACCTCGTATAAACAATCCTTTGTGCCACTTTTAATCACTTAAAAGTCTCCTAAGAAATAATCAATTCCTAGAAAACAACCAACAACAATAAATTAATACTTAACCAAATTTCCAGCAACATAATTTAGATTAAAATTCCTTAAAAGTCCATTAAAAACATGTTTTTATGGTTAATTAATCGTTATAAATACAATAGGAACCAAAGCCCCAAATTAATTGCTCATTAGAACCCTAAAATCCCAATTTGATTAAATTAAAACCCTAGGTTTATAAATTATAAAATCTGAAAATTATAACAACCATTATAATTTGAAATTATTAGTTTAAAACATCAAAATAAGATTTTAATACTAAAAATATAAACTTTATACTATAAAATCAAAACCCAAAACTAATTAATCAACATTAAGCATAAATGAAATAAAACAAAGGAGAGAGAGAGAGAGGGCGGCAGCCACGGTGGTGGTTGGGCTGGTGGATCGCCGGCGGCGGGCGGTAGTGTGGCAGCGGCGGCAAGCGGCAGCAGCACTTGGGGGCGGCAGTGAGGTATTTCTCACGTGAAGGAGGAAGGAAAGAAAGAAAAAGAAAGAAAAAGAAAAGAAAGAAAAAGGAAAAAGAAGGGGAAAAAAATAAAAGAAAAGAAAAATAAAGGGAAAATAAGAGAAATAAAATAAAGAGAAGAGAGTTTACTAACCTTTTTGTGTGGGGAAAAATTTGGGGATGTATGGGGTATTTATAAGAGAGAGAGTGGTGTAGGGTAAATTGTAAGATTGGGCCTCATAAAATTAATGGGCCAATCAAGTATGTAAAGTGAGATTGGCTTTGATTGTTTGGACATAAATATAGAATGAAGGTATGTATATAAATTTGTACCAAAATAATTTTTGACCCAAAATTAAAAATTGAAACTTTTGAAATTAAATTCCGGAAAAATACAAATAAATATTATAAATAATATATAATTTCATTTATAATATATTTTAAAAATATGGGGGATTACAAGGGCAGTTGCTGCTCGTTCGTAAGTAGCACCCGCGTTTTTCAACCCAAATGACATTACCGTGTAACAGTAAGTACCCCATGGTGTTATGAATGTTGTTTTCTCCATGTCTTCTTCTGCCATGAGAATTTGATTACATCGCGCGTATCCATCCATGAATGAGAGAAGCGCATGGTTTGCTGTATTATCTACTAAAATACCGATGTGTGGTAAAGGGAAGTCGTCCTTTGGACTTGCCTTATTTAAATCTCAATAGTCGACACACATTCTTACCCTTCCATCCTTCTTTGGAACTGGGACCACATTTGCCACCCATTCGGAGTATCTGGATACCCTGATAAAACCTGTATTTATTTGTTTTTGAACTTCTTCTTTTATTTTAAGAGCTACGTCGGGTTTCATTCGACGCAGATTTTGTTTTACAGGTTTCATTCTTGGAATTAGTGGTATAGTGTGTTGAGCTATTTCTCTATTAATGCCTGGCATATCTTCATATGACCAAGAAAATACATCGATATATTCTTTGAGTAGATTAATTAAATCGGTTCTTTCTTGTTTATTAAGCGTTAATCCGATTTTAACTTCTCTTTTAATGGTTGAATCATTTGAGATATCAACCGTCTCAGTATCCTCAATTATCGGTGTTTACTTTTCAAGTGTTTCCATTGCTTTAATAATTTCTTTGTCATTTTCATTGTTAGTTAAGCAATGCTCATCACCTTAGGTTAATGAAAAACACGAGGAGTAAGAGGAAGAAGACATATTATTAAATTTTGAAATCATTACATCGAAAAGAGAAATGTTCTGAGGGACTTGATTACTAACTATCCTAGGAGTAAAAATAGAAGAAACAGGGGATGTTATAGCTAAAGAATTGAAAGACTCTACAGGAAAAGACTCTAACTCTGACTCTAACTCAGACGACTCTTCAAACATTGGTCCTTGCCCCGTTGTTATTGAGATTTTTCTTCCACTCGGAGTAGTCATCTTGACCGTCTTGCGCCATCCTTGGACTAATCCTTTCGCTGTAGTGATGAGCTTCGAAGGGTCAAAGTTCTCGCTTTGTAGGACTGTTTGGATGATCGATGAATTAAAGTCAAAGCATGGGGGTACTTTCTCCTTGTGAATAGGAGTTGGGATCTCATCTAGAAAGTAGCAATCCAGAAAGATTTTGAACCCAGGTTGCCTTATGCCATTTACAACAAAAGGTTCAGGAAATTCATAGCATGGATAGTCCTCTCCTTCTCTTATGAACTGTCCAATGAGAGTAAGAGGATATTGATCCATTGGGATTGCTTTCTTTTGGCTGCGAGCGTTCCTACGCACTTAGACCTTTCCTGGGCTTGCTTAAAATATTCCTGAGTCAGTTCGAAACCAAGTCCGAAAGTATCTAACTTAGGGAGGCCAGGTAATTCCATTTGTTTTGCTATCTCCTTTTTCTTTCCTAGAGTCATTCTAGGAAAGTGTTCCTGTCTCTTGAGAATAGCATTTACTGTCATATTGGACTGGAGGGCGTGACAAATAGGGGTCCTTTCATCCTCCTTGATTACGGAGACCTCTTCATTAAAGCTCCACAAGTCTTCATCATCCTCATCGTGCTCCACATTAATGATCGAATTTTCAACAGCT